GTTTCCTATACCAGCCACTTGATTATGACATTCTATGTTTTCCTTTAGTGCCAGTATCTTACACCCTCCTGTGAGATGCTGGATTGTTTCTTGGGCCTCTTTGCATAGCCTGCACTTGGGATCTTGCTTGGTATGGTAGATCTGAGCCTCTATTGCTCTTGTGCTCAAGGTCTACTCCTCTGTGCCATGATCAGAGCTAGTGTGCTGTTTTAAGCCTAGACTTCTCTAGCCCTTGGTAGGATTTGGTCATATGATATTCAAAGGTACCGGTACTTGTGGCTTTCTTCACATCTGCTATTGTCCTATATGGGAGTGTAATCCTCTCTATGTGGATTACCCTCCCTCCCGTTGTCACCATCCAGCCACATGTTTACAGCTTGAATGAGATTCCGATGTCCCTGCTATACAGACTCGGACTGGTAATCTGTGATACCGGGCCCGGTGGGCCGGTCCTAATTTCAGCGTGTGAGGGCCGGCCCCTTCTTAAATCATACTGGCCCCAACACTTACTCTCCGGCCAAAGCACCTAGCTGTTACAGTAGTAGTAGTAGTAGTAGTAAGTAATACCATGTTAAAGGCCTTAATGATGCAGGCAGTATATATAGCCCTTTCTTGTCATGCACATCCTTGTGATGGTTGGCATATGGTGTAATTTTCTATTTCTTCAAACTGTAAAATCCTTGTAGCAAACTTAAGTATAATAAAACTAAAATTCTTTCTTTAAACCAAACTACGATGTTCCTCTTATATTTGGCTAATTATTTTGCGGTGCATGATGGGGTTTTGCATTTAAAGGCTAACGTTTCCCTATTTATTTGTATTGTTCCCGGGTTGGGATGTTTCCCAATCTGGCAGTTTAGGATGGCTGTCTATTGGTAAAACATTTTTTTCTTTAGATTTATGGCCTAAGAGATCAATAGAATTTGGTCCAAATTGGGCAAGATTTTGTATATCCAGGTGGTTTATAAAATATTTTTGGGCTGGAAAATGTGAGTCAGTGACATATGGCAGCCCTGCTGATGTGGTGAGTGGGGACATTACACAGCAGCAGTCACTGTCGTGTCCGTGCTAGTAACCAAAGCCAGTAAAACCGCATTATAGAAGCCTTGGTGATGGTTGTCGAGTGATGCTTGAAGATAGATGGGTTTATCCACAATGTGCTTTCGTATTGTGCTTCTATTTTTCTCGGAGGGGGTTCAGGCCACAAGTGGGCCGATGTAGATGGAAAAATGCCCGGGCCAAAAGTCATTCCCAGTCCAAGCCTTAATGCTATAGATCCTGGTTGTGTGCATCAGTTACTGTCTCATCTGATTTTAGAATATTTTTTCAATGACTCAAAAAGTCAGATTCCTTCTGAGTACTCTCTGGGAGACGTGAAGTAGCATATTGCCATTTTCACTACTAAATGCTCTGCATTTGTGTTTCATAATTTTGACAGGTTTTGTGCTTATCTATACCTTTCTGATTCCCTGCAGGTATTAGTATGGCACACACGGACTGAGAAGCCTTCACTGGTACGTGAGGGCAAGAAAGGATTTACAGACTTAAATGTGGAAATATGATGTATTTCATTCATGGGGGGTTCTAGACAGGGGCCAACGGCGGCCAGTGCCCCTGTAATGGCCCTTTTATTGAAGACATAATACTTAAAAGAAATTCCAATGATGATATGTGCTGGAAGGATACTTAGTTACTGATAAGTCCTTTGGACCTATTTCATTTTTGTTTTTACAAATTCTATTTTACTAATTATTTAAACACAATAAGGAAATAGCTTCGGTGGTATTGAGATAGGATCCCAGTTTTCACCTGCAAAATGTTTTTTTTTAAAACAATTTTGTTTTTAAATTGTCAAATTTTTAACGCTGAATTTTTCAGTTTTGCTTGAGTTCTAATTCTGATTTTGTAGAAAACAGTGATTTTAACTTAAATGAAAAGAAAAATATGTAAAATTACTATATCATGAATGTAGACATATAATTTTAATGAAACCTAATTGAATGGAAATTTCACTTCATGTTGTTTTCTTAATATATAATATTAAAATCAAGCTTTTATCTATGGCCTCTAATTGTTTTTTATGGTAGGGGTTGATATACTCTATACTTATCAAAAACAGACAGATTGTGTGAATCTTCTTTAATTAATGTCAGAACTGAATAAAGTTATCATTCACAAAGTCACCTGTATGTCAAGTCCTTCAAAGTGACGAAGAGTGTAGCATCCTGTTTACTTTGACTATGGGCCGGATCTATCAAAGGTTTGCGTGTATTAAAACGTGAGCTATTTCACTGCGCACGCTAAA